GTATTTTATTTTTATTTTCTAGTCTTAATAAAAAAATCTAAATCTAAATATAGTTCTATATGATAGATTTACACTCTTATTTGTCATGGTTACAAGTTAGACCTTGAATTTTGTTTATTGTTATCTTTTTATAGTTAATTTTATTTATTTCTATTCTTATTTTCTTTAATATTTTTTTATATTACTCTGGTATTCTTATTTTGTTCTTATTTTAGTTTTAGGAATAAAAGTTGTTTTTTTACATATTTCTTTTTAATGTAATTTTCACCCTTGAATTGATTTTGATTGCTAAATATCTAATCTACATAAGAACCAAATATATTAAAGTTTGAATTAGAGCAAATTAGATCAAGAAGGTAAGTAGTCACCAATATAGAGAAAACTAGATGCTAGTAATTAATTGAAGTAGTTTAAATAACTACCAAGTTAGATAATTGCAAAGAAAAATTGTTGTTGTTATTATTATTATTGCTTATTTTAGGATTCAAAATGAATGATTGTGAATACAAATTATTTTTTAAATTACTACTCTATTTCTTAAATTTTCTAATCCAAATTATGTTCTTGTAGTTTTTCTATTGAAGTTGAAATGTATGCATTTTATCTCAAAGTAATAATAGATGAAAATTTCTCTTAATATAAATTTCTACTACTACTTAATTACTTTGATACAAAGGGAAGTATTTTTAGTATTGGGACTTTTAAATTAACATTTAATAAGAGCTATAAAAATATAGTGATAATTTAAGGTATTTAACAAGCTCTTACCAAATCAAAAGTTAAGTCTAGGAAGTACTTCCTAGCTTATTGGATTTTAGACTTACACAAACAAGTTTTTTTTTCCTTTTGTGATAACATTTATTATTAACTTAGTTTGTTTTTTGACCAATTATCTATCTATTCAATATAATATTTAACATTATTCACATCAAAATAATTTTCTTAATTCAATGAGGATCAAACAAGTTCAATAATAATGTCTTTACATCATATTATAGTCTATAAAGAAATTAATTGATTGTTACCATATCATTTTGCTTTGCATTAGTTTCTAGTTATTGAAACATTAATACATGTTAACACAAATCAATTTATTTGGTATAAAAGTTGCATTTTTGTTTTTTTATTTTTTATGGATATATTAACTGCATGATCTTTTTTATATGTGAATAAAAATTCTACCAAAATACATCGACTTTTTTTATAAAATAATCTTATTAGTCTAATAAAAATAATAATACAAGATTAGATCTTTGGAATAAAGTTCTAAGAAATCTAACTCAAGATTCTTATTTGCATAACTAAGAAATTAGAGCTTAATAACAAATTCTATTTGATTTATGAATCTTTAAAACTTGAATCTAGTACCATTTAACTTCTTTAAAGAACTAACTCTTTGTTTGCTAATAGATGCAAACATATTTATATAAATTATTTTAGGTGGTGAAATTACTAAAAAAACTCTTTTGATCTTTGTGTCATCCTAATTAATCACTTTTAATGTTGGTTGAGATGGTAGACAAAGTTGATGCATAGTAAACATCAACTCTTTTATTTTTTCTAACATCAATATAAAAACCACATTAGCTATAAGAACTTAAGAATTATAATAAAAAATATAATTAAAAATAATTGATATTACAAAAAATAAAATACTTAAAATAATGATTCAAAACATATGTAATAGTTTGACATTTTCAAGACAAAAAGATTAAGTTATAATATAATGCATATTAGTCTTGACAAATTATCAAAGATATGGATCTAAATAAAATCTAGATACATATCAGAAGCCATTTCTATCTAAAATATTTTACTATCTATTTTTTAATATAGATAAAATCTTTAAATTATAATTAATAATTAATAAATTATATTTTTTAAATGGATGTTTATGAAAAAAATTAGATTAAAATTTAGATTTATAAAAAATTACTTCATGAGTTCATAAGATCAAAAAACCTATTTTGGTTCCATCTTCAGAACCTTTAAACAAAATATTTTTTATAAATTAGTAAAAAATAGTAAATTTTTGAAAAAAACACTTTTTAATTAAAGTATTTTTTTCAAAATAAATTTAAATTTATTAATTTTATAAATAAATTTTTTTAATTATATGTATATATATATATATATATATATATATATTAAATCTAATGATTGTCATAAATATTTTTGGTATCTTACTGCTTTTAATTACATTGCATGTAAATGGTATAAGAATATTGTAACTAACACATCATTAATTGGGATAATTTAAAAAGAATAAATTTAAAAATTTCTATCTTGAAATGATTGAAAACATAAGTCTTAAAGTAATATAAAAGACATAGATTGAAATTTAATAATATTATTAAATTTCAATCTATGTCTTTTATATTACTTTAATTCAACTCTTAAAATTAAATATCATATTCTTATCAACTAAATAACCACCCCTTCTATCTATCATATTATACATTGAGAAACAAACAAAACAAAACAAAACAAAACAAAAAACAAACAAATGAAAGTATTAAAATTAAAATTACATTTAATATGGAAAAAAGTTTTAAAACCAAACATCTTCTTAGATTAAAGCAATCATGTGTCAAATGGTCTTATTAATAAATTTCCAGTTGATAAAATGAATTGTCCCTTATAAAATATTTTAGACACCATTAAAAACTTTGGTATATCACTTGTGGCTAATTAAGACATTCTAAATATTTTTGTATATCTATAAACAAATTAAAAAATGTAGTAATCTCACATCATATTTGAAAAGAATAAATTATATTTTAATTATTCAAATCAAAGATATCAACAACCTAATTTAATCTTACAATAATAAACTAGACAATAATCTGAGATTTACTATGTATAAAAAGATGCATGCTTTTTGGATTTTTTTATGTTAAATTAAGAGATATATATAGTGGAACCACAAACCAATGAAAGCAACATTAAGCCAATTTGGTTTATAAAAACCTTACTTAACTTCATTTAAAAAAAATATTGTAATTATCATAACTTTTTTAAAAAACATTATTGTGAAATCTAATAGACAAGCTTTAAAATTTTATTTTTATTAAAAAAATTTAAACTTATGATTTTAAAAATATAAAAAAATAAAAAATATATATAAACTATAAAATATATATAAAATATAAAATATATTTAAAATAAAATAATTCATACCTTATATTTTCATCTCTAAAATCTAAAAATAAAGAAAAACCTTAGGTGCTATATTTTAATTAAGAGTGAAAAAGGCCTTTTAATATTGACAACAGATGATGGAGTAAAAATTTAAAAAAAAAAAAAATCACATATTTGGATAGTTTTATAATTATTATAGAATATATAAAATATTAGATATTAAATATTCATTTATCTCATATAGTGCAATTAGATTAATAAGATGCAATAAATGTATTTACAAGGAATAGTTTGAATCTCATAATTTATCTTATATCACTTTGCTACCAAGTATACAAACATCTTTTTTCATAAAATTAATTAAAGTTAATGTATATATATATATATATATATATATATAATATGTATTGGTTTGCATGTCAATTACAGCTTTTTATTTCAGTTTATTAAATACCAATACAAACTACCAACTTTTTATTTAATTTATAACAAATATTAATTTGAAAACATTTTTAATAATATTATATATTATATATTTAATTTGGATATTATACGTCAACCACTCATCTTGATAATAGTTTTATATATTTTTATCATACATGTTCATTGTTATAATTTATAAGCAATCATGTTTATATGTAACAAGCTTTTGATCAAACTATGGATAAAAATAATACTAAAAAAGCAAATCAAGATTAATGGCTATGACAAATTTGTTGACTATAATGTTAATCTTCTGAATTAAAATAAATATTTTAGATTACTTAAATGTATTTTTAGATGAAATATCCAAAAAAAAAATTATAGATGTTATTTTGATAAAAATATATATATATATATATATATATATATATATATATTTTTTCTAATTTTGACTATATTAGTATTTATTTTTAGATTTCTATAATGATATTTTAAAAAATAAAAATAATTTAAAATTCTAATTTTATTGATTTGTGTAAAAGGTGTTTAAAACCATCTATTTTATAGAAATCTATACCATCTAAATTTGACTTAAATAAATACAATGCATAAGATTGAATACAAAATAGAAATATATAATAAGAACTTAGAAACTTTAATTATATTTGCAAATGTGAAATAATATGATATCAACAATTATTAGGATTTGACATATTTAGATCAAATTTAAAAACAACAAAGATGAAAAGGAACAACTATAGACTTCACAAAACTTTATGCAAAATAGACTATATACTATACACAATTGTATAATTATTTTTATGGTTTTACATTTATTTCATTTTTTTAGATTATGTAGGTATAAATTTGCTATAGACATTTATTTACTTAATTGTTGTTGTATAAATTAAGAACATTTTTTTACAACTATTAAATATACTATTAATTTTTAAATTTATGATGCATGTGTTCTCTTTGAGTATATTTTTTATTTCAGAATATTATTACTATTTTTAAAAAATCACTTCAAAAGGAAATTTTGAAAAAAAGAAAAGACAAAAAAGAATCTCCAAAATGCTATGCAAGTTTGTTTCCCACAAACTCAAAAGTAGTACAATTGCAATAGCAGTGGGATATCATATTATGGTCATGTCAGAAAAAGAAAGTTGTTCACGGAAAGAAAAGTAGTCTCTGGGGGAAAAGTCGGCGTCTAGAAGGAAACGATGGGACCAGAAAGAGAAGCGGTGAGGAGAAAGAAGGCGGGGAAAGGAAGAGGCGTCGAGGGGGAAAGAAGAGGGAAGGGAGAAAGAGAGAGCGAGAGCGAGCGTGGAACTCAGTTTTGAGAATATCAAAAGCCTTTTCCCGGAATTCTCCGTCCTCCGGTCGCCGCTCGGTGGTTGTAGCTTCACTGCCACACTACCCTAGCAATGGAGGAGGTCTCCCTCGCAATCTTGTGCATGTTGCTGCTTGCTGCTCACCAGGGCTTTACCACACGCACGCCCGGCCTCTGCTCTCTTTTCAGCCGTTGCACACGCAGTTTGTGAGCTCGGGGTTCAAATCTAGAGTAGAAACGGGGTTGTGGTGGTTCGGTGAGTGCGTGTGTTCAGGGTGAGTTTTGTGTGCGGCATTCGCATGTCTGTGCATTTGAGACACGGAGGGTTTTGGCAGCTTTTTCGCAGCCAGGTCTTGAGTAGTGTAGTAATCTTACGGTTTTTTGTGGTGTAGGCAGGTGATTAGGGAATGGAGCTTAGGGAGAGTTGACTCGGAGAAGAAGGCATACAAGTACCTGGGAAGGGAAGGAGTGTATGAAAGGATTTAGAGTAGGCTCAATGGATCGACGCATGTATGGTGGTGTGGGGTAGATTGTAAGGTCTCGTACTGCAATAAGGGTGTGAGTAGCCTGTAGCAGTTTTCGTTGGTCTGGAAGTTTTTGTTGAGTTGATTTGATTCAGTATTGAGTGGAAAACTCGGAGGTTTAAGAAAAGTAGGTAGGTAGGTTTCTAAGATGGTGGGTCGAAGAAGTGTAGGAGCAGGACCTTGAAAGAAGGTTCTTCATTATATGCACTTCTGCAGAGTTTCGGCGCTGAAATATGGTCATGCTGGGAACTACTTGAGCTGGGAGCATTGTGGCATGTGGCATGTGGCAGGGTTTTATTTTGTGATCTTTGGATGGTTGGTTTAATTATGAGTCCGGTTACTGGAAAAATCATGCGCATCGTCATCAGCTGTATGCCGCATTCGTTATGACAGAGTTGTAGGTACTTGTATTAGTAAAGTTTCAGAGGAGGAATTTATCTCGCCTGCGGGCTTACAAGAGTCTTCTCACTGGTGTGTACCAGCCTTAAAAACGAAGGATTAAGCATAAAAAAGATGGAGGCCATGGGTTCTGTTACGTAAGAGATGTAAATTCATGGCAGCAGTGCAGGCTTTGCCTCGTGCACCTGCTGTCTATGCATCTCCAGTAACGTCGATTATCTCTCTTTCCACTCCCATGACTGTCCCCTGGGGCGCCGGTGCCCTCCACCAGCGCCTCAATGCTTTTGTTAAGAAGTCTCTTATCAAGCAACTCGTTCCTACTGGTGCTGTTGTAAGTTCGTTCTTCTACCTGTGTACCGGTTCATGTAGGATTAGAAATTCTCATGACTACAGCACATATTTTTAGTATTAAATTTCATGGAAGGTTGTGCAATATATACTTGAGTTGGTTTACTGTGGGAAGTGAACTACTCGTAGTCTAGGAACTTTCTTCGCCGAAAATTGGATTTGTGCCGGGTTTTACCAGCTTTAGAGAATTCTGCTGCATGGAATGTAATTCTCAAACTTGTAGCGTGTTGCGTTGTATTACAGCAGTAATATCATTAGATCGAAAGTATGTAACTGCCAGGGTGTGTATTTAATCGAATGATAGAGTGCCTACACAGCTCTGCCACCAGCAAGACGATCCTCACATAAAATAAGGATGCTAAATTTCCCGCGGTAATGTTGGTACGTTTCAATTTCGAAAGGAAAAGGTGTCTTAAACCCTGCAACTAGCTTGATGGCAGGAGAGGTGATCAGTTTCATGAGCGAGATGTTTGCAGGTCTGTGACTTCTATTGCGGTCGAGGTGTTGACACAGACAACTGGGCTGAAGCTCAAATTGGAAAATATGTAGGCATCGGTACGTGACTTATACCACAATTGAATTTTCAGTGTGGGCAAGCCGAAGGAAGCGGGTGACTATTATTTTTGCTGCTAGGATTAGAGTGGTTAATGAGAGGCGTCATTTCTTTAATAATTGTTGGTTGGTTGGTTGTTTTTCTTTTTTCTTTTTCCTTTCTTTCTTTCTTTTTTTCTCACGAGTGATCGTTGCCTCACTGTACCAACTGTAAACTAAAGCCAAGAGTTTTAGTTTTAAGCGAAATTTAATGCACTTGTTTACGGCTGTAGATTTATCATCATCAGCTTTGGAGGAAGCAAAGGAGCAGTGGGAGAAGAATGGGAAACGCTTTGCCGCAAAATTTTGTGAACTCAATCCTTGCATGGTACCTATCTCTCTGTCTACCGGTTGTCTCCGGATGCAACGTTTGCTTAAATCTGCTGCAAGCTGTCAACGAATCGTTCTACTACCTATAGTTGGATTCGTCTACGCTTTAGATATTGGTGCTAAAAAGTAATTCCTCGATGAAGACTTATTCTGGCATTCCTCTGCCTCACCTTGACCCAATTTTCAATTCGTTAGATATTTAGAAATGAAGGGGTCTACAGTCGCCTAACCACCAGGTTCGTGTCTACTATTTTTCTGATGCACTTATTTTCCTTTTTCTGGTGCAGGTCGATTTGGAAAGAAATTTGGGAGAGGATGGTCTTTCCGCCGATGTCGTCACTTGTCTCGCACATCTGCAGGTTGCTTTACATTGGTGTTCAATTAGAAACTTAAGATTCTAAGTTGATTGCTTTGAAATTTGCTCTCCTGGATCAAAATTATCACTCACGAAGAATTATGACCTTTGTTATTATATGAATGATCTTGTAGTTGATTTAGTTTTCTCAGTGTTTTACAACGTGGTATTGCACGTATTGCTTGTCGAATAACGGTGGAATGTTCTGCCATCAATAGTACCGTTTTGTACTTGTTCTTAGAAAATCCTTCAAAAATGCTAAGAACATGCTCGATCTTCTGTATCGTTATCGAGTTCAGTGTACCAATTGTAGGCGGAATTTTTGGCGCAGGATTGTTTTGCGGCCGAGGATATGGTGCGTCAGCTGCTGAAGAACGTTGCATCCCTACTGAAGCCAGGTGGCTACTTTTTCGGAGCCACTCCCGATTCCTCCACCATCTGGTTCATAATCTTTCCCCACAGCCGCCCAACACAGCCAGTGATTGTTGTTACTTACGAATGTTCCTGATGCTAAAATCCTTGATGGTAGATTGTTGGCACAGGGTTGAGGGGGCCGATTCCACACCATCCATGATTTTGATTTTTTCAAATTTTCGTAATATCTTGGAAATCGCAGGTATAAGTACCAGAAAGCAGTTGAAGGGGCAATGAAAGCAGGGTCACTAAGAGCAAATGGCCACCTCCCTCGCGTGAGGACAGATTTGTATAGTATCAGCTTCGAGGATGATCGGTACTTCCATTTTCTTGTATGTTGGGCTTAGTATCTAATATCTGCATGTTGCTAGGAAGCATTACACCGAATATGGCATTTAGTATTGCACGCACTAATCTAAGTCCACTTTTTTCAATGTATAATGTCATGTTATAATGCTACCTACCATAAATTGATGTGCGATTATTTTAAAGTTTTGATTTACCCCACAGCTTCATATCACTGGGATGGGCTCACAAAGTTCCACGTTCTACAATAAAGGAACAAAAGAAAACGTTTCATTATCAACCAAGATTTGTAAAAGCTACGTGTCAAATTTCTCAGCTCTACACCAGACGGCCTTTCCTCCACTCTTTGAAAGTTTGAAGTTTTGATATCGTATGAATTACATCAACACCTTATAATATGAGGAAAGTGTAAAATATACACATTTCTGTGGGAAATATAAACCAAAGATAGACTAAGATTTTGGAATTGAATTTAGCTCAAAAGAATTTCAGCCGCACAGTAATCAGTTTGAGTGGCCCCAAAAATTTGATTGCTCTTGTAACAATGCCAGTAACGCTAATCTGTGTTACTATCACAAACAATATTATAGTACTAAATGCCATGTTCTGTGTAGTCAGTTATGATTTCCTCCTGGATGCTGAATCCTGCTTGCGTTTATTTTCCTGAAAACAGCACTATGTTCATTCAAGAGCTTGTCAATACCTCGTCTCTCTTTGCCTCCTAGTTTTCCTTCAAGGTTGTTTGAGGTAGACCCGCATGTTATCATCCTCCTAGCCGTGTTTTGAATGCACTTTAGAACTAGGTATAGCAGGTGTGTTTGGCAAATGGCCACTGTTTATCAATGCGTTCATTACAATGAAGACTTAATTCCGCGTGTAGGTTCAACCAGTATGGGTCAAGATATCAGCTCCGCTTCACTGATGATACTGTCCCACCTCAGCCGCAGATCTTGGTACATTTCCCGAGCTTGATCAGGTGTGTTTCAATCGTAACTTTCGTACATGCTTGGATTAAAACTTCAGAGTTTTTGTTCCATTTTCTCTCTGAATGGTCTCGCACTGCGAACGAGGGTTGCACCTCGTACATTGCAATCAGGAGTTGCTGCAATTATTGATTTCGTTCTGGCTTTATTTTTTAGACACGCGGAAGAGTTTGGACTTGAGTATGTGGAGATCCAGAATCTGACTGAATTTTATGAGGACTATCGGTACGTTTTAGCTCTTGGAGAATAGACTGGATGGCTGTACGGCAAACAGGTTTCAATGTTGATGTTAGATGAGGGCCTTAAGTTCCATTAGATGTTGGATGTAGGTGTTCAGTTCCTATTACTGTCCCTTTTTAATTTTATGCATAGCATTATCCTAAGTTTGTGACAGCCCTGGGAAACTTGATTGAGAGATCAATCGTGTGGGTTGGTTGCCGTGCTTTTCTGGCAGTGTTCCGTTTGCTGAAACTCTTCAGAATAGCTGTGGCACCCTGGTTGACTCTAAAGGAAATCCAGTTGTGGATGGAAAGTCTCGCCTCTCCCCGATTGCTCAAGATGTTCTAAGTATGTTCCTTCTGACGCTTGTCTTCCGCTTCAACCAGCCCTTACGTTGGGTTTCAGATGCTGCTTTTCTCTCCATTATAGTTGTGATAATTACTTCTGGTTTCCGCTTGACTTGCGATAGTTGCTGCAGAATGTGTACCATTATAATCATTATCAGTTTCTGCAGATTCCCAAGATGAATGTGCATGATGTGAGTGCAGAAGTTTGAGGTGTAACCAGATGCAGTTCATATGTTTTGTTCAGGTTTGTATACAACGTTTATCTTTAAAAAACCCGACCCCCAACAGCGTCTAAGAGCTCTAAAGCGACCTGCTCCTCCTGCACCTACTCCTGGATCTTCTGACGTTAAGAGGATGAAGAAATCCAGTCCTGCTTCTCTTGTTCAAGTTGCTGCAGCAGAGGAAACGCCTTTAAAGAAGCGAAGGATTTCGGGTCCTAACGCATTACCTTCTTCAAACGGTTCGAGATTGCAAGAGCCGATTCCGAAACAAGAGAAGCGTTCCAGCAGTGGTAGCAGATCCAAACTTGAAGTTATTTCCAAGAACGAGCTCGATCGCTCTAGTGGCAAGATCTTGAAAACCCCAGATGGAGAATCAAAACTTGTTTATTCTCAGCCCAACTTGAGCGAGTCTAAGTTACAGGAGAGGCTCTTCAAACCTGAAATTGCAAGCTCAGAATCGAGGGATCAGCTTAAATCCGTTGAAAAGTTACTGAAACCGGAGAGCTTAAGCGCAAGCAAGTCAAATGCACCAGGAAGCCAGAAAACTGAGGTTTCAAGCGCAAGCGAACCAAACGCATCAGAAGGTCAGAGAATTGATGGCACTAACTTAAGGGTACAAGAGTTGAAGGCTGAGTTCTTTCAGTCTAAAAAGAGCATTATTCAAGGAAGCTCTGAGCCAGAGTTAGAGAGTCCCAGCTCCAGTGGATTGCCTCCTGAGGCCCACCTTACAACTGAATCTGTAGAACGAGAGAAGCTTGACAACGAACAACGGGGAAGTGATAGTAATCAAAGACTGGAGCCAATGAAGAGGAAACGGGTATCTCGATGGTCCAGTGACTATGTTCCAAAGGTTGTTGCTTCAACTGGAGAACAAATGACTGAGAGAAAAGATCAAGGAGTCGCATTACAGCAGCCTGGTCAGGGCGCATTAGCTAATTTTCCATTAGAGCACCAGCTTGTCACAGGTCCAATCTGCCCTAAAGTGGGTGTTCCTGCTGGGATCGAAGGAGGTGTGGCTCAAAATTCAAACAGTTTAGTTTGTGGAGCAAAGGTAGCCAGTGGTGGACCATGGGTTAGAAAACAACACTTGTCCGAGAAGGGTACAACTAATGTGAGCGATGTTAAATCTCAGCATGATGAAAGATATAACCACAAGGATCTAAACATTCCCTTGAAAGGCTTTTATCAGAGGAGTCCATGGGGATCTCAAGAGTACGGGAACGAGAGAGGTTCGATTCAGAGGAGAGAGCATGAGAACAATAGTAGTGAATCCGTGCTAGCGGAACGTGGAGTGGAGTGTATCGAAGAAGGTGAAGTGATTACAGGACTTCCTGTTCGCAAGACCTCTAGTCCGAATAGGGATAAACCTGCGGCTATTGAGTTGCATTATGAAAGACGTGCTGCACAGAGGTCACAGCGTTCAGGAACTGTGTCAGGCTCCACTTACAGACGTGAAATGGCAGCTTCTGATCCTCAATCAGAAAGAAATGCATCAGGCAACCCGGAGAACATCGGATCTGAAACCTGGCTGGAGGGAGATGCTGTTCAGAACGACAGTAAAGCTAGACCTGCAATCCAGAGTAAGTATACAGCCAATGAACCTAAATCTAAGATAGGCGTTGCGAGCATAATTGATGCTCAGCTACAGGAGGGTTCGAAACAGGAGATTTCATCCATCACCCTTGAGCCTGAGAGCAACATAAATGATCAGAAGAAGCGCAAAGTTGTGGAGCCTCTCCTTGACGAAGCTATGAATGAACAGAAGAGGATGGGAGCTTCTAGTTCATCTCAGGAAAATCCACCTGCGCACTTGGAAGCTAAGAAAGAGAATCTGAACCCGAAACCTCGAAAGAAAGAGATTGTCATGGATGTACTCATGGATAGGACTACAAATCAGAGCAGAGATTGTGCTGCGTCTTGTGCAACACAATCACTTGGAAACACAGACACTGATCTTTCATCTGAAAAAAGTTCAATGAAGAAGAGAGAGTCTCCATCAGTGGAGTCTGTCTTTGGTAGAGGATCAGGTCAGAACAAAGACTCTGCAGTGGCTGACGCGGATTTTGAGAAAGGCTCCAAGTCGAGCAGAGACAGTTTTACTGTGGAGCACCAGTCTGAGATAGGGTCCACTCAGAAAAGAGAAAATGGTGGGTCTGCGGAGCCTTTCACGTCAGATATCGGAAAGAACCCCTCGAAAGAAATTGTGGAAACAGACAGCCAATCACCGAAAAGTCAGGGGTTCAAGAGAGATAATTTCGAGCTGCCGTGGGAAGCCAAGCCCCAACGGTATCCTGCACTGCGACGTGCAACGCCTCAAATGAGTGAAGGAGCTGTGGAAAACCCGCCGTTGTGGCATAGGGGGAATTTCGTCGTGAAAGTTGATAGAACTTCTCAAGGTAGAGGGCCCGTTATTTACCCTCGAAATCCTTATGCAAATTCGGGCCCAGGGTTTGTCGCTGCACCCAGACCTCCTCTTCGAGCGACAGCAGAGAGAAGGGTCGTAGTACCTCCATTGCAGGGTGGGGCCGGATTGCTAGGGGCAGCTCCATCACCAAGCTTTGTAGATAGAGGATTAGTAGATAGAGGATTAGCAGATAGAGGATTGCCAGCTGACAGAAGGTTTGATATGATGGGCCCCCCTGAAGGTGGCCGGGGTTATAACGATCATCGAGGGCCTCGCCCCATTCGAGGATCTTTGTATAAGGACAGGGTTGCTGGCGTCTCGAGAGTACAGCCAGACTTCGCAGGAGAGGGCAATAATTGTCTTGGAGGTTCTTGGGACGACCACTTCCAAGGCGATGGCCGAACAAGGAACAGGTGATCTGAATTTGCTTTTCGCTCCATTCTTTGATAGAAATGTCTCAAGTTTCGAGGTTCTAGAGTTCCGAGGCACTGGAGCTTTACCGCAGAAGCTGACCTTAATCGCTGCGCTCTACATGCAACAACCATGGGTGTGATGAATGATCTTGGATTTTAGAAGTTTGTCTTTGATGTCGAAGTGGACAGATTTAAGAGTCTGGAATATTTCTGGCTTGCGATGGTTGTTGGCAAGGGCTCCGAGTGCCATGTGCAGCCGCAGCACAGAACATCCATTGAGTTACTAACATGTTCAAGAATTTTGAATCTTACCTATTTTGTAAGCTTCTCATGACGACTTGCACCATGTATCTACACATCTGGGTGCATTGTAGTAGTCATTAGAATCCAGTTTGGAACCAATTGTTCATACTGATCCCTCAAAAATTCACTGAGTATTGTTTCAGACGAGCGTTTGGTGTTCCACGACTCTGAAACTCTTTGGCAGCTCTCTTTCCCATAAGATCAGTGGCTGCGTTGAATATTTTTAGTTTTGTAAAGTCAACTTATCCTAATTTCAACATCCTCTGGACCTCGTGATGTGATCTCCTGCGTTTGTTATGTCAAATATTGTGTACTGAGTCGAACGGTGGCAAGAATCGTCAAAGCTCGTTACACACCGTCGTGCTGAAAGACTGTCTTTAAAGAAGCACACATGGTCTTGAAGCACACAGGTGCTTCTTGAAGACTGAAGTGTGTCTTGAAGCACACAGGTCAAGAAGCACACATGGTCCGAGTGTCTCACAACGCATTGATCTCAACTCATTCAGGCTCATCTCAAGCTCCGGTTGAGGACACGTCTGCATAGTAATAATGTAAACTCATACTAAACGTTCACTAACCTGAATAATCCAAATATATGAGACCATGGATGGGTGGAACTTGGAAACAACCCACGCAGCATAAAACTCAAGAATCTTAATTTAGCAAGGAAAAGTCGTGACAGAAGCAAGGAACCAAAAGCCCAGCATGTCGATTTGAAAAGCAGGAACGATATCTAAACAAAGACATACCATTGAGGGCACGGAGATGGAGACAAACGGTGCATTGAGAGAGACAAGTTTAGAAAGGAGAGAGGTAGGACAAGTCACTCCAAACTTTTGAGGTGCCGGTGTCTGTGAAGCAATTGACAAGTAATGGTTATGAGCAAATCCAGTTAGATGCACATGTGAAGAATCAGCACCGCTACCTCCAAACGGGGGTAGCTGTGGTCAGAGTAGATTAGGTTCAAAGTCGCTCCCTGACGAGACAGGCGGGGGCACGCAGCCACGCCTGGTAAACCCCTTGACCAGCGTTGTCGAAAGATCGGGCAGAAAAGTTACTTTGGAGGCTGGAACGTTGTTTTCAGGAATTGGTTTTCAATTAGACGGAGATGGAGGGAAGTGGGCACAGCTGATTTCTCCCTTTCACCAGGACGTTTTCATTTAGATTTTGGCCTACGCAGTTTTTGGGCTCATGTGCGCGCTTTTTTGTTTGTTTGTTTGTTTGTTTGTTTTTGTTTTTTTTTTTTTTTTTGTTTTTTTTGTTTTTTTTCTGTCAACGATTCCTTTTGAATGAGAGCGTCGTCACTGTCATCATCATCGCCATCGATGTTGTGAATATGTGTGAGTGACCGACTGGTTTTGTCTTTTTTGCCTCTCGAAGAGCGTTATCGCAGACTTATTTGGTTTCGGCGAGTCTAAGGTGAGGAGGTGGAGTTGGGAAAAAAACGAGGCGGAAGAATGTGTGCTGTGCCCTGGGGTCATGAGGAACGAAGCAAGTGTGTGGAATTTAGGGAAGAGAGGAGGATGGTGAAAGGATTAAATTTTTTGAGTCCTTGAGAGTGAGGGTAGAATTGGAGAAGCGAATTTGGAGTGTCTGTGAAGGTGAAAATTTATCGTGCTTCTGGGTTCATGGGGCTGGTAGGAGCGATTTGGGTTTGGAGAGTGTGGAGTTGGGTTGCGGAAGTGCGGCATTGGGGTTGAGTGATCAGGTGCTAATTGAGGGGAAAAAGGTGGATGGGCTGTTAAAATTGAAGGTACAGATGTCCATGTTTTCTTGAACAGCTTCTAATTATTGTGCGGTGAAACAATTCCGTTCGTTTCTTAACAAGAAGAAGTGCTGTATTTTGTTCTAGGTTTTTAGTAACGTGGTTCATGAAAGTCTTTCTGTTTGAATTTTCTTGATTTCTGTTTGTTTTGAATTTTTTTTTTAAGGCGCTCTATGCCAGTACAAATTTACAGCTAAAAAACGTGGTTTCATATCACGCATTTATCTGGAGAAGTTGAAAAGTACGTGACTCTTGTTGACACTTGTGTGGTTCTTGTTCACTTAGATTAGCGGCAATCATTGGTGACTGATGAGAAATGTTTTGTAGGTTCATTCAATCGCAGATTGTATAGCTTAAGCTGTTGGGTTCTACTCATTATTGGTTTGTGAGCATTTCTTAAATCGTCAAGAACTGCTGTTTGAGTTTGCCTAGCTACAGGATAAAAACTCTCGTGCTAGGAGTGGGTAGTGGGTCGCTTGGGTACTTGATATGGTTCCCTTGCATTGGATTTTGTAGGATCGATGTTACTCTACATGTATGATCCCAATTGTTTTTAGTAATTTAGTGTACGGTGTTACACAATGAAGTGCGATCGTATGTGTGCAAGCGCATCAACACCTTTTCAATTTGTCCTATTGTAATGGAAATATTTCATCATTACCCCGCATTGTTTCTTAGGCCGTTTGAGAAATGATTTGTTTGAAAACCCTCATGTAATATATTTTCCAAAATTTTCAAATCTTCGATCATGTGATTTTACTCTATTTTTATCCAGGCACAGAGAGATGAACTCTAGTTCAACTCCATCACCTTCGAAGACGGTTCAAGGAAGCGGATGAGCTCGTAAATAACAAGGCAATCTTCAATATGCTTCCGGTAATCCTAGACTTTATCTCTCAATAAACAGCAAATGTTTAATTGTTGAATTTGTTATTGAAAAACAGTATATGTGTAGCAGTAGATTATGAAACTAAAGATTATTTTCACTACTATATTCTTTGAACCTAATCTTCGAGGTCACTGGTAAATCCAAGAGTTTGACTGATAGTCTGTTGCCTCAGAATATTACGAATGGAGGTGGAATTTTAGGACTTGCCCGGATAAAGCTCCAGGAAATTTTGCCAGAAGATGGTGCAGCCTCTGCCGGTTACAGTCGTGCATTAGAGAAATTATCACTCTCCTTGACTCGAAACAATGCTGCAATAATTGAAATTAGTTCGGAAGATGCAGCACTTGTACGTTGTGCTCTTGAATCTGCAAAGCTTTACTTTCGGAGCAGATGCCACACTGCGTCTTTATGGAACTCGTCAGATTGGCTCAAGCTCTCGGGTTACTTGGCTGCTCCTGCAAGAGACATGTACTTTTATCGGGCGGGAAGGTAGTGGTTTTCCCTTGTGTTGTCCAAAATACTCTCTGCTTTCATTCATGCCTCCTATGCGCATGTGATTTGAAAGGCTCATGTTTCCATGCCAAGTGGTAATAATACACCATATTAAGATTGCATTCGTTGAAGATGACCAGGAAATATTGAATTCTAGAAGTCCATGACATGTCTGCTGCTGTATGCAAGAATGTCAGCCGCATCTCATTGTTCGAAATGGTGAAGGTGACATGTTGTCGGTCTAAAAAATATACTCGTGTGAGGTTACAGTTGTAATTTGGATGTATTGAATCCATGGGTTGGGGCTCCTCTGGAATTGTGTTGAGTTGCAGAACTTTGAAAGGTGAAGAGACAGAGCCACCTCCTCCATGTATTCCTGAGGTTTTCAGATGTTTTGGGAAAGCCTCTCGTGCTTGTTTGAGTGGAATTGCTCGTCATCTTCGACTTCGTGGAGAGTAAGTGATATCTTTATTGGCCCTCTTTTAGTGCCCTCAGTAATGGTTACAGCTATTACGCTGCATAGATTTGAGAAATCTATAATGATTGTAATGTTTTTATTACATAGCACCATAGGCGTGTGACTTTGCAATGTATGTGTACATTTTTCCCTTCAAGTGTTTCACTAACATTCGAACAAAACATAATGTTTCTGTGTAGGAGCAGCTATACATAATTATTTATCCCTACCGCATACTAATTAATCCAATTTAGGTTGTAATTTTTCTAGCCGTTTCACATATGCACTGATTTCTGATGTGAGCTGCATATGGCAGTGCGTTTGGTCAGCTTCTGGACGAAGCTCCTCTTGCGAATGGAGAGATATCCTCATCTGTGCTGACGGCTACAGCATTCCATGCTGTGGGACCAGGCGAAAAGGGAGCCATGAAAGACTCCGGTGTGTTACAGGAAGTCGAAAAGGGGTTTTTGCTTCTTATTGCTTCTGATACGCCTGGGCTACAGGTATGTATTGGTAGTATCTATGTTATCAAGTATAACAATAAACTAACATTATGAAGTAATGAGGACTCACCACAAATATGAAATTTCACTCTATCTTATGCACTACTTGATATGCTCTCAGTGGTATGTCACACATTACTTTCGTAGTGTATATATTGATAGCGCTTGTTTAGACAAGCTTGTCAGGTCAGAAACATAGTCTTCATGTCGCAATTCATTTATAAGCGTGAGATATGCAGTTAACCATTTTGTTAAGCTTTCTCCAATAGAGGACAGTTAGAAAGGTGGATGAACTGAAAGCGGTGGTTGGTATGTGCGTGTTTGTGCAACGTTGGTGGAAACAGGTACGAGATTCGAGTGGCCGTTGGTACCTGGCTGACAATGCGCTGGGTCCAGGGGACCTCTTGTTACTTACAGGAAAGACATTGGAACAAGCTACTGCTGGTATCCGGAGGGCTTGCACCTACCGTGTAGTCCCTGTAACTCAGACAACTGTGAACGCCTTCTCAGGCAGGTGTGTTAGGTAGCTCCAGCCATTGTTTCAACTATTTTTGCAGATTTGGGCATGCTGTTGGTGTGCTTGAGTTTGAGTGGTTTTCTTTTCACGTTCCTGTAGACGACGTTGTTCTTCTGCAGGCATTAAGGCAATCGCTTGCGTCGATTATGGTGAGTAACACCTAATCGGTTATTTCTTTACTGCAGAACATCCTTAGCATTTCGATTGATGCCTCGTATGAGTGCTACTATTGACTGCACTGCTGTAGCAGAAGCTGGTCACGTCATCCCTGATGGATATGGACCCATTCCAGTGCAAATATTTCTCAACAATGTAATTGCTTCTGAATACTCAATTGCCAACAGTTCAAATTTAAATATTGTGAGACTCTTTGGCATTGTCCATTTCCTTCGTAATTCCTTTTCTTCGGAATATGCTTTGACCCTCTATCTCAAAGATTCAACAGGACAGTAATTAGTCAACAAATCTGGGCAGCTTACTGTGAAATATCTTCCAGGAACCAATCACCACCATTGCAGAGCCAACGTTGCGGAGTGCTCTTTCTGACCCTCTGACGTGAGTGCTAAAAACTAACCACCCTTTCTTTCTGAACAATTTCGAATCCGTATTTTAGGCTGGTTCTCTCCTAAAAATCTATTACTTCCTGTAACACTTCTCAAAGGAAATCTGTTACTTTTGTATTTTTACGAGTATTGGCTTGCTTGTCTCGGTTCTGCAGGGGTGCCCTATTGGAGGATGCAATGGCATCTTTTTGTGGTCACTCGTATGGTGGTGGGACTTTACAAAGAGTATATGATACGGTATAGTCCTGTTCTTCTCGCAAACTTTGTGGAAATACTTGAAATTATGACGAGGAAGAACCCTAATTATACTTCATTCCCAATGGTATGTAAAGTGAAGATAGTCAGGATGTTTTCCAGATGACTTTTGTGAATTCCTTTTGAAAGTTGATAAACCTCACTTTCAAGACCATGACTATTGGTCCATAATTGATCAGAGTAGAGATAAAATTAGCTCCTTAAAAGGACACGAGGTATGAGGTAAATGTGAAACAAGGAGTATCTGTTCAGGTTACCACGACTATCATTGTGGCTTATTTTGTTACTGATTCTTTAACCTAGAGTAGGCAGACTATCCTTTTGTAGGAATCAGTTACGTTCTATGAGTTCAGCTTCTTGGAGGTAGTTATGGTCAAAAAGCTTCTTGAAGTTTGAAACGCTAAAGTCCATGGTGTTGTCTTCTCAGATGCAATGTACAACGTGTGGGGCCACAGTGGAGGGCAGCTCTATGGTTCACAATCTTGGTATGTTTTACCCTAAACCTCTGTCGTGATGAAAGCAGTTCTGTAGTTCTTGGTCAAGTTGTGTCCACCTATTTGCTATGTCAGGTTTTTCACCTCCCAGCCAATTGGTGAATCAATGTTATTACATATGGGCGTCACGATCATGAGTGTCGTTCGTATTTAGTGATTCTGTTGAGGGTGTTCGTATAAAGATGGGGACTTATCAGTATTAATGTATGCGTCAGCCTTGAGAGCAGCTGCTACTGCTTTCAAAGGGTTGGAACGAATAAGGCAGTTACATTCTGGATCTTTGCGGCTCGACAAACGTAAAAGAGAGATCGGAGAGCAAGTTGATTTGACCGGACTAAAAAGGCCTGAAAAGGTATTGGCTCCTAAAGCTATGGTTCTTGTCGTATTTAAGGGTTTTATTCCTGACGTGATTCTGTCCTGTTGTAGAGTATTTTCTTAGTTACAAGTATTCTTTTGTTTTGCTTCTACAGCATATGGCAAAGTCGTGTGTCCCTGTTGACTCTTGGGAACATTCTCTCGCTTGTAGGAACTTCCAAAAACAGCCGAGAAGGATATTAGTCCTCATTCTAGCAGTCAAGGGAAAGGAGTGCAGTATCCATTCTCTGTCAATGAGAAAGTTATGATCAAGGTGCTTTTGCCATTTCATTATTCTAATTTTCTCAGTGCATTGATTATATATAAAACACGCAGGAAGATTGTTACTTGGTGTAGTGTTTGTAAGACGTAATATCTTTTCCTTGTTTAAAAGAAGGCTGAATATGCTTTTCGGAATGATTACATCTCTTCACTGAAAGTAAAGCAGAGGGCAAATTTTGTGGTCTTTGGATGTAACATCTGGAATATCTTATCAACTGGATTATGTCTACAATCTATCGCCTGGATTTGTCAGACAGGCTTTATTCATGTAATCATTTCTCTTATTAGTTTGCATTAATAACCTCACAGACCTAAGATTTCACAGTATGTTCACACCTTAAACTTTCGCAGGGTAACAAACGCACACCTGAAAAGTTTGTAGGAAGGGAAGCTTGCATCACTTCTCAATGTCTAAATGGATGGTAAGGAACCCCACTTATGTTTTCAGGTTCTGGGAGACCCATCCTTTGAGACTGTAAAAATGGAATTCTTGTATTTCGCAGATAAAACGCAGTAATAATTCAGTCGACCCGTTCTCATTGACTTCGCTGTCGTGAATTTGCAATGAACTTCGTCACTGGAATTATTAAGTTGGACGTTTTACTTTTTTAGAGGCGGCATATACCTAAGATTACAGAATTGCTTGCAGGTACCTGGTGCGGTTGTTGGACAATGGAGAGAGTGTGCGTTTGCAATATCGATCCTTGGCTAGGGCAGCTGGAGAGCACAATGGCTTGGGCGATGAGGGACGAGTTCCAGCCATCCAATCGTGATGCATGTAGGGTCTGTCCTTCCAAGTTTCATTGGACATTTCGTCCTTGGAATGTTGGAGTCCTGGTAGGTGCTCCCGTGCCCAACGAAGAATTTTCGAACACTTCGTCTCTTTGTATATTGCATTACACATTCGAGACGTTCAGGCACTCGCTGGCGACCTCATGCTAGCGGCTCACAGGGCTCAAAATACGACCAACTTGTCTCCATCTGACTTTTTAAGACATCCTTTATGATCCACTTGTCTCCATCTGGATAGAGGGCTACCAACTTTCCGCGTTGCCTATTTCTGCAACAATCCCTCAAAACTTTGCACCCATCAGATGGCAAGTATGTAAAATCGACCCAGGCCTACCCTTTTTCATTGTGAAGCTGGTCCTTTTGTAACTGTCTCCAGGCTTTTCCGTTATCAGAGGTTTAGGGTAGTAATCCTGGTAGAAAGACGATCAACATCCTCATTATTCTTCTTACCTGAAACGTGGTAAATTTCAAACTGTGCTCTCTCAAATGTTTCGCAAAATGGCTCACAACAATATAGGACATGGAGAACTCTTTGCAACGATTGCAGGGAAGCGTTGCAGAGAAAAGGTCCCTGCGGGTATGATTCTGTAACGACTAGGCAGTTACCCGACGATGTACCAAATAGTGACCTTCCACTTGAAGGAGCTACTCTGGGCCGAATCTTGTATTTTAGTTTCATAAAGTGCCCACACGTTTTGGTGGCTTTTTCCAGTGATGCTCTATCAATCGTTGCAATGTCGAGAATGTGTACATTGCTCTCTTGGGCAGAATTCAAGAGAAAATTTCTTATAGAGTCTAGGAGCCCTCCTGGGATTTTTGGGCACAAATTTAATGCTACTTTGAGGAAATTCTTCGCAAGCAGAATTCTAAACCTGTCCCGGGTAACTCTCATAACGTGTGATTTTAGACGCAGTGGCTTCTGACTTTTAACTGAAAGTCAATTGAATGGAAATGGGTAACCTTATTTGTCATGGTCTGACCTATGTCTATTATCAAGCGTATTGCTCTGGCCCATCACCATTCAAAACAGATTTCAATCCTACCCATTCTTGAGCTATTCAGTAGACAAACCCCAACATTGTTTACACAACTGAAGTTACTACAAATGAGTCTTTAATTTCTTGCACCCAGTTGCTTTTTTGCACGCCAGATGCCATGTTGATAGATGATTTAGGACAATTTCTTACACCACATGTGATATTCTTCTTTATCAATTTTTACCGTGTTGAATGAAGTTGTTTACAGGCTTCTAGAAAATATTCTGACATTTCTTACAACAATTTGTATCAAAATTTCTAAAACATTTCTTGGTGGTACTTTGTGTATTTTCATTTTCAATCCATTTTATTACGTCTACTATCATTTTTGTAAGTAATCCATTGCTCAATATTCTGGACAGTTAAACACCAACTAAAATTTTATAGTTCTAATTTATACCTTTTTTGAACAACTTCAAAATAATTTTTCGAATTTTAGAGAAAACATTAGTAATCGCTAATGATAATATTTTAGCTTAAAAAATCTTTAAGTCGTTATTCTTATCTAATTATTTTACACTTTTCAGTTTTCTTTGTATTTATTGTGTATAACTTAATGCTAATTTTTTTTACAATTTTTTCATATTAAATTTAGTTATTTTCTGAATTATTTTTTCTCCAATTCATTTTAAGGTTTACATCTATTAAGTTTATAGATACATCAAATTAAACATCATTATCTTCTAATTTTTATAAATATAGCAATAGCTTATTGATATAGAAAAGCAGAATGTTTGTTTTTTATTATTCTTAAAGATAGTATTACAGTTGAAACAGAAATATGGAGAAATGTGGATTTGGTAGATGTAGTATTTACTAATAATGTAGAGGGCTCTGAAAACTTAGTTTGAACGAGTTATCTGCAAAACTAAAACACAAAGTGCTTCGAGTAATTCCAACGGATTATACTGGTAATGAAGGTATATCTGGAACAGGTTTAGGGGTTGTCTTAAACATGGAAGTTTTTAAAGCAGGACTGGACCCTGAGTCCACAATTGGGGCTGCCTGATTTCAGATAGTCCTAAAGGGGAAACTCCGAAGCTTCCGATGTGAAAAGAGAAAATCCCCCTTCACTCGTCAAGCCAAGAACACGAGCTTGATTGTCTCAACATACCGTTGACATCTCCCATAAACTCAGATTCCGTCACTTTACAGCACTACTTCATGATTCAACTTGCCAAGTATGGCACTCTAGGCAGCTCACGATGGAAGCATCTTTGACACCAGGGATAAAATGATCCAATTACTGATTAACATTAATATTGTCGTCGAAACTCCGCAGAAGTCCCTTCTGCAATTCACTAGGGTCGCAAGTTCCGATGGCTGGCTCGGTTCTCAAGTATTCACAATGTGATATTCTTCGTCATAGCCCACCGACTAGAGAATTCGTTGGCAGAGACAATTGCCACAAATGCAGGGATCCATGCAACCGATTCCAAGTGTCAAGAATTTCATGAATTGCACGAGGAGAGCAACTAAATGCCCAACTGTTCATGTACGTTGGAATTCTTCGCTATTGTTTAGGTGTGCTTTTTGAGATCTGCGTTCGCGCAGAAAAGGGATGTGGACACGCCTACTGACTCTAAGCAATGAAAATAAGACTCACTTTCCGCAATTTACTGTACACAAGGAGTATCTATTCAACTTGACATAGATTGCCTGTGATTCATGATTCTTGAACAAAGCCCAATTTGGGGGGAAGTGGAAGAAGAAAAGAAAAGAAAAGGTCAGGGAGAAGAAGTTGCAGAAGCAAAAAGTACATCGATCATTCTTCAATACGTTACGAATGTTTTTTTTTCAAATTTTCAAAGTGAAGGATCTGTAGATACCCAAGAATATAGGTAGACCTATGCTGTATTCTCATATACTTTATAAAAGTGATGACAAGTGCCATGTTTCTGGGTACGCTGACCTACGATGGTGAGATGGTGCAGTATTGCGGGCTAGGTTCGGTTGGAAGAAGAATTTGCATTAAAAACGGGTGGTAACCGTAGCTGACGGCATTCCCACTCTCTTCCCATCTCACGCAACTGAATCGATTCGCATGTACGCTGCGCCTCTCCTCTGCTTGAAGGAGTACAATTCTCGGTAGCTTTTCAAAAAAGACAGCTTACGCGAACAGCCAGCGGATCTTAAATGAACCTCCGCATTCGGGCATGTTTCTTGTACAACAGGTGTTGTCGCCATAAATCCAGTCAAGGAGGTAGAGGTGGATGAGCTCGAGCTTGAGCAGAAAGCCAATTTCGAACGCAGCGGGACATTGACATCAGAAGCAACGCACAAAGTTAAACTGACAAATGAAGTAGATAACTAACTGCAGGATCGACGTTTTTCTCAAAAACAAAATGACGTGAAAACGCCAATCTCACTGCTTGGAACTGCGGGGCAGAATCGTAGATGCGAATTCCGAAATAGGCTTTGGGCTTGCTCGCAAAGTAGAGTACGTGATGCTCCAAATATGTGTCAAATCAAAGACGCAAGGATGCAGTCGAAAATTGTACCCAAGGAAGATGCCTTCAACTGGAATCGCGACAAGAAACCACAGCAGGACTACCAGAAGAAACTCGCTTGCGCTGAAGCACGAGCCGATTTTGACTTGAGAGCACTTTTTGATGTAATCGTTTGCTGTTGTCTAGGGGCAGCGACGTAGAGATGAAGAGGGGCAGCCAAACGTGGAGAGTGGCATGAACAGAATCGTCAAAATCAAAACACTTGAAAAAACAAGACAGAACAAGTACATTCGTAAACAATTTTCAAGCCAAATGACAAACAGGTCACCTAAAGTTAGACGTTATAATATGACTCTTGCCTTATGGTGGGAATATATAGATAAACAAAAGACTGAATCGTGAGAGATGAATGATGTGTGAAGCGGATGATGCTCTTGAGCTTTATTGAAATAAAGTAAAATGAAATAAAATAAAATAAACGATGCCGATCTCATAGTTCCCTTCAATCTGTCACTGTGTTTTCAAAAGGCCAGCATCAGCTACTTGAATACTAGCCACAGCGGTAATAACCCTAAATCACCCAGATCTTCTTCTAAGGGTCCCAGCGGATGGCGGACCAAGGTCCTCAAAAAGCGTTCTCAAGCTCAGCTAAGTTTGTGTCAAAGTACGCAAAGAATACACTTCTCATCAGTTCTCAGCGGCAGGTGGTTTCAGAACACCTGAGAGTACACCATTCACGAACAGCCAGCCCTTTTTTAAATGTTTAAAACAAAATCTACTGAGCCTGAAGAGAGCGCAAGGCAACTCCAAACTGCACGCTACACGCGATACAAATCAAGGGAGACGACGACAACAACGACGACGAGCAAGGACGATAAATTAGAAGTAAGGCACACGCAATTCAATAGCTACGACACCCCGTGTAACAAACAAACAAACAAACAAACAAACAAACAAAAGCAAGGACGACGGGTCGTGGTCCGTCAGTCGCAGGCTGGCAATCCCAGCAGCAACACGACCAGAACCGCCATGCCCAGCTCATCAACGTCACATGCTTCCACTCCAGCACCAGCTCGAATTGCCCTAAAAGTCGTTGATTACCACAAGGACACTCACTACCCTCTAAAGCGCATCACAGGGTGGGGATCCTTGCAGAAAAGCTCATGGTCAAAGAAATCTGTGCTTACGGTAGTGATTCCGTCCCATTTTCCAGCCAAATTGTGCAGCCCACAAAAGGGTGTTTCCTGGAAAACGCTCACCGCTCTCTTCAGTTTTCTGTTCTCTATGTGGGGAAATATTTTCTAGACTATTTTAGAACGAGGATGCCACTCCACAAACTTCGATGGAGAGCTGCACACCACGATCGACGGACGAGTCCAGAAGACATTCCAAACTGTGCCGAACTTGGATTAATCCCCGTTCCGCCGAGGCCTGCGCGGTCATACCCTCTCCAAACGGTAATACCCACCAGTTTCTATGACCGAGAATTACTAGTGGTGTGGTCCCAAGACCACTGCACCATTGCTGGTGTGATCCCTTCATTCGAACACCGCGAACTCACGTTCCCATGGCTAAACCGAACCTGTGAACCATATATATATATATATATATATATTGTTTTTATTGATTGATTTATTTGTTTATGCAAATAAAGCTTTTCAAATTGTTATTAATTTCTAGCGTTCAACTTAACATGAAAATTTCATGTCAGTGTATTATGAAAGATAAGAATCTTGTCAAAGTCACAGAATGTTGCTCCTAATTAATTTTTCCACATCATGGTAAATCCAATCAATACATTTTTCAGGTATTTTTATAAATAGCATAGGACATACATGTTGATTTCTCTGTCAACCATGTTGCCATGTGTATTTATAGATACTTAGCTCGGAGGTTTTCGGCTTGCAATTATTGTTGTCTGTACAAATTTTAACTAACTGTTTCTTTTATTTATTATTTCGGTTTGAACTCGAATATGCCGATTGTACTCACCAGGTACCATCTTGTAAATTATTTATCTTTTAGAATCCCACCACGCAATTTCCTCACCTCTATTATCTTTATTAATGCTAATTTGTTATAAAATGAGTTGCTAATCTATCCTTTAAAAGTCGTTTTCGATTTTCAGTTTATTCTGTATGATAAGGTATGCATATACTTGAGATGAGATTGGTGCTGAGGTTATACATGCATGCATGTATGTATATATATATATATATATATATATTTCATTTCACAAATTGTAATTCAAATTGACTAAAATATATACAATTGTGAAGCAATTTAACTGTCAGCATATATCTTAATACAAAATGAGCTTTTTAAATCTTACTTAAGAAGACATTTGTCAAAAATTGAATAATTTTGATAATATTTG